TCACGTGCCCAAGCCTCTCCTGAGAAGTGTGAGAGCCACACAACAAACAACAACCAAACTAAAATTCTGTGAGACTGATTAATACTTTTGCCCATCGCTCAACTTTATTGGAAACTTGGGACAAGTGTATGGTAAAACTCACAGGAAATGTACTGAATAATGAGGAACCTTTTTTCCCCCTCCTTTCTTCTCCCTCTGGCATAACAATCACCCTCCAATGTGCTCATCTTCTTCTCTCCTCTGCTCCATGCCTCCTGTCCCCACTCCTCCCTCAGTATGTGTCACAGGAAAGAGAATCTGGATTATATGTTCCCAATTACATTTGGATATCTGGCCAACAGAACTGGGGAACACTATTCAGCTCTAAAATTGTTCCAAGACTAAAAGTAAAATCTTCAGTTTCAGCAGGTTTTGGCATAAAATAAATTAAATCAATGTATTTAAATGGAAATTTTCAGCTCTGAAGAAAACTCATTCAGAATTTCAACAGCTGTATCAAGCTTCTCTCTTAATTCTCTGTGCATCTTTCACAAGCTTTCATAAATTAAATAACTTATTTTTTCAAACTATCTGAGGTTATTTAAAAAAAAAATATTCAAAGTTTTTCAATGTGCCAAATTACAAATGCTGTATGAGATAGATAGTACAGATAGAATAAACCGTGGGAGGAAAGCTTTCCAGACAAACTGTAACTTTAGACATCCAACCTTTTGAAATAAATCCAGATTTGTGCTAATTTATAGGATTACAGTATGACTTAATAAGATTTACAGTAGTAAAGGCACGAGATAAAAAAGAAATCTGTGGATTTTTCTAAATGTAATTGAATCTTTCTGAGGTCTGGATTTTCATCTTTTTAAACAACCTTAATACTTCAGATCACAACTTACTCAGATACATTTTGCTCTTCCTTGCCAACTTAACTGTATCGTTCATACCTCCACCTGAAAATTTACCTGTATTCCTCTAGATTCAGTCTAATGAAAATGACAGCAACAATCAAGTAGGAAAAAAGAAACCCACAAAACAAAGCCAAAACCAGACTCCAAAATACCCGGAATACATTAAGGTCAGACTTTGGCATCCTCACTGAGCAGTGCATTTTAAGCAGTAAACATTCTCAGAATACTTCAAAAACACTACTCAATGCAGGCACAGCTGACAAGATGTGGGCTAAATGGGACTTTCTAATTTGCTGAAACGATTAGTGATGAGAACTCAATTATTTTTGTATTCATGGATCTGAGTGATAAAGTAACGCTGCTTTTTTTCATTATCGGTGTAAAATAAAGGTCATCAACTGGGTACAAAGATCAAAACCTAAAAGGCACTATTACATGAGCTTCCAGAAAATCCCAGTCATCTATATTCATACCTGAACTTTGCCTGCACACAGTGCATTGATGAATATTACTGTATCAGGCAGACAAACATCATCAGTTCAACACGGTCAGCAGTTTTGTGTTTCATTACCAAACAAAACATCTTGCCAGCAAAGTGATTTCATTAACATATTCAAACCCCTGACTGGTTCGGTCCGAAGGTCATTTAAAATTCTTTGAAATACAAGATAAAATTTTAATTCTTAAATCTCACATAACATTTAAAATGCATTATTCTTCAGGAAAGTATCTCATAACTCTCGCTGAAAATTTAATCCACACGACTCAATTAATCATTACCAAGTGGTGTTAAAATCGCAAAGTGCACCTTCTCAGGAAAAGAATAATCATCATGGTATAGCAGCACTTTGCCTTTCAATGTCTCCTTTCATCTAAAAACCTCATTGTTGTCCCCAAAGGTATCACTTCTATTTTCTGGGTGAGGGAATGGTGTGTTAAGTAGCTTGCCCAAAAAAATACAAAATCAGTGGCCAGCATAGGGATAGCAGCCAGAACTACCAATGACATTTTGATCAATGCTTCCCTTATAAAACTATACAGCGTTTAAATATACCCCTGTGCCATGGGGGAAAAGTCTGAAATATCTCACTAGGTTGACATAAGAACTCAAAAATTCCACTTGCACCTTCCAGGGTGCATCCAAGGGCAAAGGACCATACTTGTCCAGTCCTAAATTCAGAAGCCACTGTCTGAGATCTGAGCTGGTTCAGCCTCCATGCAAGTTGACAGCTGAGGGATCATTCTTCTCAATTCAAATATAAGTGAGAAGGGAGATGGGGCTTTCTGACTTTTTTAAAGGTGAGAATTAAAATGATCTCATTCACATATGCACCCATCTAAACCATGACTCAGGTAAAAGTCAGAAAGTGGGAACCTTTCCAGAACAAAAAGTAACTCAAAAAATATTGATGGAGCAATTGTCATTAACAATTTGCTCCAGTCTACGAGAATTACTTACTCTTTGAAAACATTTGGATGTTTTCACTTCTCCCCAGGGCAAATATTTTAATGCTTCTCTTTGGAACTGCATCTACAGCCCTTTTCACAACCTCACTTTAAAGTACCCAACCACACAGAAACCATATTGAGAGGCAGGCACAACAGGGCTTTGAAATTTCCTTTTAAATCACAGAAACTGCATTTTAGTCTGACAGCATATACATGTAACATATGGCTAAAGGCTGCTTACCATACCAGCAAGCGTGCTGGCCTGAAGGAGTAAATATTTAAATTAAACACCATGCCATTTTCCAGGTGTTACAACAAAAAAGAGCAACTCAAACGTGTACGTGAGAGAGGGGGGGAAGCAGAACAGGGGCAGCCCTTCTGCTTCCTTACAGAGAATCTCTCCATCCTAATGAAATCCTAAGTTTAACTCAGCAGCATTTAGACCTTCAAAATCTTCCTTCCCCCCCAAGCAAGGAACCTAAAAGATCCTTCCAGGCAATGTCTTTTTTCCTTGCTTTGCCTGGCCACCTTGGGACTGCAAGGCACTTCAGCAGCTGGGATTTTAAGGAGGTCTCCATTAGGACACTCTCGCAAAAGATGCATTAAGTCAGGGGACTCCCACAGTATGGAGCACAATACACAAAACCCAGGGACTTTAAACATGATTTTTCTCTGTGCACTCCTTCCTATAAGGGGAAGGAGTTTGCCGCAGTGAAATTCCATCATTTGCCATTGCAGCTTCCCCTGGATAGCAAGGATGGAGAAGGGAAGTAACTGAAAATTGTTCTCCGCAGCTTTTACAGCATTTACCACAATCCTGCAGTGGATGAGGGGAAATAAGGAAGTTATTGCACAGAAGACATAAGCCAGCCATTGCAGGAACTTAAGACTTAACAAGAATAACTTTCTTTATAAGTCACTGTCAAACTCTCAGGCTTCTTTTACAAAAATAATAATTATCCATGTGTGATGCTGAATTACAAGTCAGTAATACAGAGGATTCTGTGCAGACTACACGCTCCAAAAGGGTTACACACAAGGAAATCCTAACCTTTCCTAATCATGCTACCTGGACAAAGGCTGTGCAGACACAGGAGTAAAAGGAGTATCCTTATCCACATAACACAGCCTAGGAAGAGTACTAAGAGAATTCCCCTCCTCATTCTCCCTCTCTCCTTCAGATCAGTACAATTGAGTATTTTCAGAAGCAAAGGGAAAGCAAGCACAGCACCTTTGAGTTTGGTACAGCCTCAAGGTCTAACTGATAATTGTGCCATATCCCCACCACCACACTATGAAATATATTTACAGTCATGGACTATAGCAAATAACAAATAAAAAAATAAAAATTAAAAAAAAAGGAAAAGAAAAAGGCCACTTTTACTAACTTTTCTATAATATGATTCATCATAAGCCACAATAAAAACCTCTAAGCCAAGCATCTGTATGAAACATGTCACCCTGCAAAATGTAATCCAGGTGAGTGCATCTTCCCTACGTCCTTTGCTCATCAAAAGACAGAATTTTTTCCTTTCTCTGCTACCTTATTACTTCTCTTTGTTGTTTCCACTTGTTTTCAGGCCATGTTCCCCCCACCCCACCCCGATTTAGAACTTCCCTTTTCCAAGCTCCCTGCAACTACTCAGTTGACTCATGGTGCAAATTCACTTGCATTGGAGGGTACCACCTTTTTCTTCTTGTCCAGTAAAACTAAAAATTACAAGTTGAACAAAAATATACAATTTGTAAAAAAAAGAGCTGTCCTATCTGAAAGAAAGCCAGCATTAGCACACTTTTTTCAGAGATTAGGTACACTCTACTCTTTTTATACTTGATTAGCAGTTAATTTGGGTGATGTATTACTGTTTCCTCAAGGAAAACAAGAAAATAACAAAAAGCCCAGCACAACCCCTGTCACAAAACTGCAATAAAGGAGAAAACCACCACCATTTTCTCTGCCAGTTAGCATTTACTAGAAGCAGATCATAGTAATACCACCATGCTGCAATTACTTGTATTTGACAGCAGTTTTATAAACCACAGGTTGATTTTTTCCAGAGCTTTCCTCCTGATTGCCTCAGATTGACTACATGTCTACTTTTCCCACAGGACAGAGGCTTCCTTAGATCCAAGTAGACACCAGCTTTTGAATTTCAGCCTTGTTGGAGCAGTTCAAAATACCTGGTGAACTACCTGACTGCTCATGTCTGTCTCCCTCTTTGCACCCTCCACCCCAATACAGAGCAAAAGGAACATGAAATCATATCACTCATCTCTATTACAGCACACAGAGAACATGATGACTTTTTAAAATGCCTGGGGGAAAAAAAAAAAGAAAAAAAACCCCATATTTGATTTTTTTAACATTCCCATGCTGATGTGATTCACAGCTATTGTTATTTATTTCGCTGTAAGGTTTTCAAACAGATCATCAGCCAAGCAATCCGAATGATAAATTAAGTCCTTACAACAGAATTCTGCCTCTACTCTCAGTGACTCTTCTCTATTAGCCTGAAACAAATCATCTTTGAGTTCACAAAAGGTTTAAAACAGAGAAAGATAACTAAGAAATATGGTATTATAGAAAAAACCATATGTTGCTAGCAATGCCTATGATAACCCCTCATCTCCACACGGCAAACACGGTACCTGAGCAGAAGATTTCCACAAAGCCATCTCTTAATCTTTTTCTTAATCCAACATTCAGACTCATCTTCATGTTTGCAAAACATAGCCACTTGTTCTTTTTTTCCTCAAGCTGCAGAAAGCATGTCCATGTCATCTAAGGAATATTCTTCCAAATGAATAGCGTGATGTATTCCCAATAGCAAGCCATTTTCCAAGGGGCAACAAACTTTATATAGAGAATAAATAAATTTATAAAATGAATACTTCATATCTCAAGAGAGAACTAATTGATATTACTAAGTGCCTCCACCTGTCAGAGGATTTTATTAATAGCTTAGCTTTAAATAATCATTCTTAGGTAAAGATTGCTTATTTAATTTTCACTCTTTGCTCAATGGTTAAGAATAATACAAATCAGTAAATTACCACATTGGGTCATATTTGTTTCAAAAATCACCTTTGTAGTCAAAGATACTACAATGATATTAGAAAGGAGTTATATGCTGACTCAGAATTATTTGTCATGGAAGGGGAAGGCAAGACACCATTTTTATGTGTTTGGATTTAAGCACACAAATAATCCAGAAAGAGTTTCCATGTTCTTACGTTAAATTCCGAATTAAAAATAAGGCTACTAATCTAATAGTAGTTTTGGCAGCATGCTTTGCTCTCACTGCAGGCCTGCCAACTCTCAGAAGGTAACTTCTGCAAGATCAGAATTTTTCTGTGATCAAGAATCATCTTGTAACCATAGGAAATCCGTGGGCAAAAATGGCAAAAGTCTGCAACATATATTTGTTTCTATACAAATGCATACACATACCTTACAGCTCTGCTTTGGACAGAGAGACAGCTGATTGTGTGCTTATGTTACACATAGAGCTGAAATACAGAAGCTGTTCAGCAGCTCTACAGCCCCTTTCAAAATTAAGATAGTTTTTATTTCCATGACAGGACACTCTGAACTAATAATTTCACAGTGTTCCTGAATATTAACAATTCAGAGTAAAGCTGAAGAAACAGAAGCATTAGCAAAAAAGGCATAGTGGGAGTCATTAAAAATCCCTTGACACATTATGGTCATTAAGCACAGAACAGGAAAAACATACCCTGATACCAGTCAGTGCATGTTAGGGCAATATGATAACTGGTTCAGATTATAAATATCCATTTGTACTTCACTGTCATGCAAGTTTTTTTTACTCCTCTTCCACTGATGCAAATTAAATCTGGATTATTATTTGAAATAATATCATCATGAGTGCTCAAAGCCTGATAGCTGTAGATATCAAAGCACAATTAAGGCAGGGCAGCCTTAATAACAGGCAGCCCAAGCTATAACTCAACATATTTTTTGCAGGGAAGGGAATAGACATCTGTTTTAATGCCTTGAAAGAAACAAAGCTGAAAGCCAAGGAATCACCTGCCCCACCTCCAGCACCCAAACACCTCAACAGGGAAAGTGGGGAGAGAAGTAGAAAATCGTTTCATGAACTGGAGGGAGAAGGAAAAAAAGAAACAACAAACCAAACAAAACTAAACAAAAAAACCCACCAAAACACAAAAAAGAGGCAGAGGGAACCCTGTGTGCTCCCTGTACCCATGTAGAAAGGATGGAAAGTAGATGTCCTGGCAGGAGGGACTGCCCCATGAACCCCTATGCCCAGATCCAGTTGAAAATTAATTTTGTGCCTGTCAGGGGCAAATGAGAGGCGTGTGCAATGGCATGGAGCAGGACCAGAGAGTACAGACTTTGTGGCCTTCAGTAAAACCACCCTGCTACAGCAGGTCCCCTTCAAGCATCTGACCTGCAGGTCCTCACTCGAGATGTTCAGGATGTCTCCCCTTCCTCGCAGTTGCCACAGGATGTCTCAGACCTCGCCCATACCCAGCTCCTGCTTCACAAGTCATCAAATTGCTGCTCGAGCAGGGAATGGTACACACTCTACAGGATTTTCAATTAGTAATTGCCAGGAGATAGCTGGTAATTATTGTACTGTGCAGAAGTACATGTTATTCAGAAGGCAATGAGATTAGGCCGGCAACACTAAGCCAGGAGTCACAAGTGAGCATTTAGATAGCAGTGTGATGCTTGAGGCCCCCTCTCCGGTGCACATCCCCTTCACTGGGGGCTACCAAAGGGCTACCAAAGTCCAGCAACACCTCCCTGGGACTCTCAGGTGCCGTGTTTCTCAAAACTGACCTGCTTCAACCAGCAGGTCTGTGTCGACTCACGGCAGCCAGCACGGAGCTGTAGCACACACCACACCTTACACCTTCCAAGAACACCTCCTCACCCTCTGTCATGTTTGCTGTGCACCTCTGAACTTGAACAGCAGAGATCCAAGCTGCTAATGCCTTGTAGTGCATAAGATCTTCAAGATAACAGAGGTTGTGTAGGCAAAGGGAGACGATGGAGCAGAGACAGTGGCTACAATATTAATATTACACTTTGCAACAAAATTTGCGTGTTTGAATTCGAGGCAGGAACAACACGGGCTGTTCAGTGGTCACACTTAATTCCAGGAGGAAATCCAGAGCACCTCCCTCTTCCTGTCATCTTAGTCACTCTCTGGAGAATGATACATTGAAAACTGAAAAATGAACAGGACAGGCATCTTCTTTGGACAAAATAAAGGCTGGGTATTATACCATTTCTTTGCATGCTGACTTCAACTCTGGGCACCAAATAATGTTCTTTTCATCCTGAGCAGCTTTTGAAAGGCATGTCAGGGTGAGTTCTCCAAAGCTGCTATAGGCAATTTGGAAGTCTGGGGCTTTAATGGGATAGCTGAATTCAGGTCTTTTAGGTCCCTTTGAAAAAAAAAAATCGTTAAAGTTGTTAAAAAACCCACAGTAAATGAGAACTGAGCCTTGGCATTTTATATAATTTACACGTTGCTTTTAAATATTTGGCAATCTGCTTAATCTGCAAAAAAAACCCAAACAAACTCGCAGCAAACCCACGCGAATTATATTCGAGAAAAATAACAACTGTATAAATTAAAAATAAATTAAAAATAAATAAATAAATTAAAAATAAATAAATAAATTAAAAATAAATAAATTAATTAATCAGAAGAAATGCCCATGTAGTTTTGCAGCTCTTTTGCGCTTCGGTCTGCTCCCTGAAAGGCGGAAAAGCAAGTTATTCCCTGTACTTGCCAGCAGGGAGCAGCCCCCAACAGCCAGCCGAGCACCGTCCCGGTTTCTCAGCGGGAAGAGGAGGCTGCGCTCGCAGTTCGTGTGTGCGCACGTCTGTTCGCACATCAGAATTTCTGTCTCGGTGGCGCACATCATTCGCGGTTTGACTGAAAACACACAGGTAGCTGAGCTGGGAGCTCGGCGGGGGGGAAGGTGAGGTGAGAGCTCAGCCCGTCAGACCTGACAGCCCGCAGAGCTGCGGCAGGTTCGCTCGGGGATCGCCGTCTCGGATGTCAAACACGGCTCTGAACCTCAGCACACGCCCGTTCAGCTATTCCCAAGGCTGTTTGATGGATGCTTCCTGGTCCCCAGCCTTCAGGACAGAGCGAGGGTGGTGAGGAACTGGCACAGGTTGCCCAGACAACCTGTGGATGCCCCCATTCTTGGGAGTGTTCAAGGCCAGTTTGGGTGGTGTAGGGAACCAAAGAGGTGTTCCAGGTAGAGGTCCTGAGATAACGCAGGAATTCACTAAAAGACCTTGGGCAGCCTGGGAAGGAGAGAAAAGAAGCTGTTAATTCCTGGGGAGGAAAACCTGTTTTGGGTACCTGCACTTAAAGATAAAAATAAGATAGACAAAACTGTTTTAGGCTAACACCACTTATAGAATATGTACCGGTATATATTTAACAATAGTAGTGTGTTATTAAAAGGTTTGAAAGAAGTGTGTAAACTTAAAAAATGTGTGTAACAGTATAAAAAGCACACATCCCTGTGTGCTTGCTTTTCTGTACCTTAGAAACCAATGCGCTAAGTGTGATAAAAGTATGTTAATGTAAACATTGCATGCCTTTTTCTGCCATTTATCCGGGGACACGAGGATGAAGAATAAAGCCTCAAACTTATAATGCAGTCAGATTGTCTTTCTTAACACATCCAAAAAAGTGCAAAACGGTGTTCGACAGATTTTCAGGTGTTGGCAGGGTGGGGCTCTGAGCAACCTGGTCTAGTGGAAGGTGTCCCTGCCCATGGCAGGGGGATGTAACTAGATAATCATTAAGGCCATTTTATGATTCTATGACAGGTGAAGGTTATGCTAATGACCACTGAACACAAAGGCAACGTTATCACCTTCAAATTCATTTAATTCTTAGGTTTTTTTCCAGGACTTAAAATAATTGATTTGTTCAAACAAAGAAATCTTCCAACAACAACAACCACAAAAAAAGCCACCTCAGGCCCTACAATACAAGAAATTAACAGACTGTAAGAAAGATAAAAAAGCAGAGGAGCAGAGGAGTCAGTGGAAAGACTCTGCTACCAGAGCTTACTTGGTTTTAATCTTCTGTGTAGTGTTGGGTGGATACCTCAGGGTGGAGGAAAGTATATAAAACACCTCAGTTCTTAAAATTAGAGTCAAGAACAGGGCAGGGGAGAGGGAATGTTGGTGGTTAAAGTGAGATTCATTTTCCATTTATTTCCAAAGCCTATTTATCTCACTTAACTTTAGAAATCCGCAGTGAAGGTGCCAGTAGCTGAGCCTGTCACCTCAGACTCTCTTCATAATCAATAGCCAGAAATAAGTACTTCAGGGCCCAATTATCTGATCCTCTTTAGACTACTTCCCCTCCCACCCCCCAAATGAGATGAATTGGAATGGAAAGTGCCCATTTCTCTCCATTGACCATAAAACAGATGCAGGACAACAGGGTCAGACATAATAGGCCTATGTACACATTTTCTCAGTGAAAACTGTTCCCTCCCCGGGAGCTCTGAAGAGCCATTAACACTTCTCTGCACAATTAGCATCATCAGTTCAAAAGCAACCTGGCCACGTGCCTGTAAAACGTTTCTCCATCTCCCCCGAAAAACAAGCATCTGCAGATAAGGTTTTAAGAGGTCCATTGTCAGAAAGAGAGGCACATGAAAACACCATCTGTATTTTTAAAACAAGACAGTGTGAACCTTACATTATTTTTTGGGACATGAACACTGTTTCAGGAAGCTACTCAAGGTGTAGTGTTGGACAACTGTCTCAGGATACAACACACCTGTTTTCTGTAATTTCATAAGAGGTACA